TATAATACAAATATTGTATGTGCAGCTTGTGATGTACAGCAGATTATTGCGAACGAATATTTAATTGAGATTGTGATGTAGAAAATTTATGTTGTTGACGATGTTGCCTCAGAAGGTAGTGAATGAGTACGATCGAGGTTGGTATGTGTATTTCCCATTGAGGGGCAAGATGGTAATATTGCACCCTCGGGAATTGTTACTTGCTTATCAAGACATCAATGAATTGTCGGTTTTGTGGTGTACAGACCGTAATATTAATAACTTATTCGTTGGGTTGTTAAGCAAGTAAACAAGTAGATTATTCTACGTTAATAATTGTATTTACTTATTTAATTCGTTAATGGTTGCTTGGGCTTGACCCAAAAATATTACATGCTTAATTTCGAAGTGCGTTATGCTTTGAACACGTTTATGAGAGGATAGTAGGAATTTGGAGGCATGAAAGAAAAGTCACTACACTCCGATCATGACGGAATGTCATCTTCTTTTATGTAGTTGCTATAACTTGATGTCTTCTTCATGTATGTATTTACATACATATCTCTTTAAATTTGAGTATTCTACATTGGACTAATGATTTTAAATTTCGAGGACGAAATTTTCTTAAGGTGGGTAGATTGTGACAACCCGTTCCAAATTTTACGTTTTTATTTTATTTTAAAAGCGTGAATTTACGAAATTGCCCTACAGGCAATTACTTTGACTTCCGTTGACCATCGACTTGAAAGATGTGGGACTTATTCTTTTAGCATATCCTCGTAGTACTCATTGGTACGAACATATAGGCGAAAGCCGTTTGCGAGTCCGGATTATAACGGTATAGTTACGGACGTTCGAAATTGGTTATTCAAGGTGAGTGTTTATTTAAATTAATGGAAGCCCAATCAGAAAGAAAGAAGAAAAGAAAAAAAAAAAAAAAAAAAAAAAAAAAAAAGGGAAAAAGGCTTCCCGTGCACCCATACCCGCACCACCGCGAGACCATATTCCAAGGCCGATTCCGGCCAACTCCGGTGGAGTTTTTCGATGCCACCACCACCATTTTGAAGCTCTCATTCCCCTCTACAAAACCCACCCAAGAACCACCTTGATTGACCACGGGATGTAGAGGTTTGAGGCCACGAAAGTTGACGAAAACCAATGGTGCTCCGGCCACCCTTCTCCATTTTCCGGCAAATCGGCAAAGCGATGGCCGATACCACCACTTGGGCTTTGTAGCCCATCACCCCAGGAGCAAAACCCAACCAACCTTGACCCCGTTGGACCACCGTAGACGACGAATCGACGTCGGGAAGTTTTAGGCACCCGCCGGCTTCGTGGGCAAAATTGACCATCTTCCGTCCACTTTTGGACTTCGTGGCAGGTATGAAAGTTGCTCCACTCACTGAGATCTTCATTTCTGTGAAGTTTGAGAATTTTTGGAAATAGTTGAATTTTCCGGCGAGTCGGGGCGGCCGACCGCCACCCGCGGCGGCGCGTGGCCAGTGAGCCTCCAATGCTATTTTTAGGTTATGTCGAATGTTTTGAATTCAGTTTTGTCATTTGAATGACGTAGGTTGATCGTTGGAACCTAAATTCGTTATAATACGCTACTTGATAAAAATGTGAATCGATGATCCGACCGTTGGATCGTCACCAAAATTGGATACATTATAATACGTAATATTTAAAGATCATAGGAATTTACGGATCGGGAATCCGACTTACGGATCTTCCTGAATTGGATTTGTAAGTTAGTAAAATAAATGTTCACGGCCACTTGTTTTAGGCAATTGGCGAAGATCTGACCGTTGGATCGTAATGAAATTTTAATATGTTATTCTAGAAACATATTGTGGATCGTTGGAAGTTGCAGATTGGAAATCTGATATGCGGATCTTCCGGGTCAGGTTATACAGGGTTGTAAACCCTACCGTCGATCAAAGATCGACGGTTGACTTGTGGTCAATGGGTCTCAAACTATTTTAGAATGTCGTTGAGGTTGTGTTTTATGTGAATTACATATTCTACGGATAAGAGTTATGAGATGTGATTTGATAATTGGTCACAGGGACCAATCATTCAGGACGCCTCGATGCGTGCGCTAGAGAATCATAGCGTGGACTCCAGGTGAGTGGATCTTTTCCTTTTTATCGTACATATTATTGAGAGTTCTATCGACACCTTTAAATTGATTAGGCATATTACTTTCATATATAATTATTGTGAATGCTTGAAGTAAAATGTGAACTACGAATGGCTTGATCCCTGTTTAGGGTACGTAGGCAGTCTAACGAGACGTTAGATGCAGCCATAAAATATTTGAGACAAAAGCCTTGCTTGGGAAATTGAGTAATGCGAAGGAAATTGGTAAAGACAAGTTTTAGTTATTGTGAATTAGTTAGTTAAATTAGATTTGATTGGGTTGTCATGAATAATTATCCTTGAAAATAAGTAGTTTAGGAGTAGGGCGTTATTGATTGTACACTTCACCCTATATTGTTTATAATTGAAAATGCTACGGCATGGTTTTGTAGTAGATTGCATCATGATATATCTAAATGTATATTACTTGCATATAATTGTTGGGAATGCTTTCAAGTGCAAATGTGAACTCAGGACACCCAGGTAAGTTCAGGTGAGTTTATGGTACTAGTTGAATCGATTGCGTTATAGCATGACTACAGTTATGAGTTAGGCAACTTCGATACGGTCGTACTGGTTGTCATGAGTTGCACATGTTATATTGAGATGCATCGAGAGCTCATAAACCTGCACCTCGGTGTTAGTGCTCCCGCCCGTGGCCAGGGCACAGTCCTTCACGTGATGTTCACCTCCCGCACCTTATGCTCACCTTGGATCCAAGGTAGGTGCACAGTCCTGTCGTACAGACCACCTTAGGTGGTTCCGACTCGTAGGTGACCCGCGATTATTCGCCCAGTCTTCACGTGATCGTAGCACTTGAGCGTATTTATTTACACCCAGTCCTGTCGTACAGACCACTTTAGGTGGTTCCGACTCGTGTGCAGGTATACTTATTGAGCTATTGGCTAGCCATGATTGATGAGATATGGATGGATAAGTCGTACAGGTCCCTATAGGTGACTCCGACTTATATGCTAGCCATGATTGATGAGATATGGATGGATAAGTCGTACAGGTCACTATAGGTGACTCCGACTTATATGCTAGCCATGATTGATGAGATAGGGATGGATAAGTCGTACAGGTCACTATAGGTGACTCCGACTTATATGCTAGCCATGATTGATGAGATTAAGTCGTACAGGTCACTATAGGTGACTCCGACTTATATGCTAGCCATGATTGATGAGATATGGATAAGTTGTACACGTCATTTTAGATGACTCTGACTGATATATCACTTTGTATTGATTTAGTTCATTTGGCCTACTTATTAATGTAGGGTGGAGTTGATGGCAAACCGTGGTTTTGGTCATTTCCGAGTATGGTTTGGATATATGTATATATGTTGTACTATCCTATGGAAAACGATACGAGTTTTACATTTAGGGGCATTACTTTTAGAAAGGTAGTAACTTGGGAAGCTGGGTTTTATTGCTTACTCACACCTTCTGTTTGGTGCCCTCCAGGTTTTAGCTGCTGAGTTTGTATCGACAAGAATCTGTGGCGAATCTTAGTATTGATGGATAATTCTGAGGGTATGATTCTTACCCGCACTACTGTACCTTACCTATGCTCTGACATCGCGTGTGATATGGGTTCGCTCCTACTCATAGCGCACTCTGGTACTTAAACACTTTTAGATTCAAATTTATTCACTTTTTATGCACTATCACATTTTATGGCTTCGTCACCTTCCAGGTGTCGGCCAGCACAGCTCGATTCAGGGTCCAAGTGGACTTCCTGGGTCGGGGTGTGTCATTTATAATTACAAACAAATATTTAGAAAATATTTAATACCTTAAATATTTATTCTAAAAATAATTAATACTTTAAATATTTATTCTATGAATAATTAATATCTGAAATATTATTCTATAAATAATTAATACCTTAAATATTTATTCTATATATAATTAATGCATTAATCCATACAATTATTTTCAGCATAAGTACGATATTCATTGAAGATTAAAAACACATATAAACCGAGGATAGGGTGCTTACATTAGGTTTCAATAAAAAAAAAGCCAACAGGAATTGAAAACTAATTAAGTCCAAATACATAACTTATAAAAAAAAATCTTAAATTTAAATATTGTCATACAAAATATAAATTTAAAACTACTATTTGGATGGTCCTGGTCCATTTTGCAAGACTTCATAACGCCATCGATTGCAACCTCCCGCCAACGCATTATCCATCAATTTCATCAACTGTTCGTTCGTATCATCATCAAGAGTATACTTACACTGTTACACATATATGCAAATAATTAATTCCAACATATAACTAAAAATTTCACAAACTTAATTATTAATCCATCAACAATATACTTACTAATAGTTCATCCATCACAGCCTTCTTCACATTCCCAAGCACATCTTCCCAAGAACGCCACTCAGCAGTTGGACAATTATTCCCCATGGCTAATGCGTTCGCATGCATAAACTCAAAATGTTCCCTCAAATCATGTAGGTTCGCGTCGCATACACTCTCATCCTTGTTTTTATCCACCATCCGAGCACGAATAGAATTTTGAAGAATAAGGATAATAGAATCGTGAAGAATCAAGACATCAGAAGCACATATTTATAGGAAGGTTAGGACCTTTGCTTGACGAAGTCTTTGTCGTGCAAACACCTATATTAAATGCTGTATTGATTCCTCGGTTTCACCTGCAGTAAATGGTCAAAAGTGACAGGAACTTGCACGACGAATCATTGGTCGTGCAAATGCCCCCTTTTCGTCGAGCAAGTTTTTCGCGCCAAACAAAATTACCTTGCGTTTTCTTGCTAACTTTATGCAACGCCAACAATTATTCATCGCGCAAAGTGTTCTTGCGCGACGAATATCTTTGTCGCACAATTTTTTTTCTCCTATCTTTTCTATTTTGCGTGACGAAGTATATTTTTTGTCGCTCAAGTACGTCTTGCGCGACGAAATACTCTTCGTCATGCAAGCTGTTTTTTCTACTAGTGTATTGTGGAAGACTCCAAGGCAGCCATACTTAGGATCACTGGAGTTTCTGCTACTCACACCCGACGTCAAGGAAGTTCAATCACCCACCGCCTGGCTCGCCATGTGCTGCATATGAGTCTGACTACCTGTTCTTGGTTTGAAGAGCCCTCATATTTCATTTCAAATTTACTCTTGTCTGATTGTAATTCTGTTGGTGAATGATGAGTGTTTAGAACCACACATGTAATGATTGAACATTCACCATGCCATCGGCCCGTGGTGGATGTTTTTTTCTTTTTTTTTAATAGTTTGGAGTATATTAAAATCTAAAATCCCAATTATATCCCCTCTCTTGAAACTGGATGAAAACCCTAAAAAGAAAACGTCAATCCTTTTGTTTCTCCATCTCTTCCGTCTCTGGTCGATCTCGGTTTGGTCGTTTTTCCGGTCATCTCTCCCTCAATCAGCGGCAACCTCTCTACATCACTCAGGTTTCTTTTATCCTATGTCTTTTGATTTCATTTTCTTGTTCTGAATAAGCATTTAAATTATCATTGATCATCGAACTTGGAGATGTTTATGCATTCTTATGGCTTACAGCTCGCAAATTTCTCTTCCGGCGTTTCGCTTTCTCACAGATCCATCCAAATGCACACACTTTTCACATCATCATCGTAAATATATAATTTTGAGTTGAGAAGTACGTTTTGATTTCGTAATATGTGCTGCTGTGCATTGCAGTGTAGCGGCTGCAGCCTTATTTTATAAAAATGATGTATAAGAGAGTTCCAACCGGTGCCAACCCTTAGTTTCAGAGTCCCAATAAACTTCTAATTTTATGGCTATAACAGAGTCCCGATGATGATATAATTGTAAAACAATGAACATAATAAAAGTTAATATATTTTTTATTGGAAAGAAAACTTAATTAGAAACCCACGAAGCGAAGAAACTGCCGTTCAAAGTTCCCACCAGTCGCGTGCAGTTATATTTGGTTATCCCCTTAATCCTTCTCTTCACATCGTTCTTTTTTACTAGGACGGAAAAGATTATTCACTGATATCTCTCTATAAATTTGGTATGAATTGAGTGGTCTTGTAGTTGCATTTGGTTACCCTGCGAAATCTTTCTCTCTAACTTCGTTTTTTCTTCTAGGACAGAAAACATTTCTTTGTTAATCTCTCTACGAATTTGGTTTCAATTTTTAGGTGTCTATGGATTTTGATGGTTTGCTAGATGGTGACGAGATGCACTCAAGTGATGATGTGAATGAAGCAAAAAACAGAAAGTGGAAGAGGTCCAACAATGCTGGATTATAATGTTGTGTCAAAGCCAAACAAATTGGTGTTCAATTCAATGACAAAGGACAACATTTTGGTGTTGGATCAGGGAGTTTGAGTTCGTCGGCAGGGATCCTTGCAAGACAACTAATACCAGTAACTTACGCAAGTTGGGATGAGGTTCCTACAATTTTGAAAGATAAATTATGGGCTGCTGTGAAGGTAAAATTTATAACTGAAGCTGTGCTCTTATTTCCTAACATTTGTATATCTTTTAATTTCATTTCAGTGACAACACACTTATATGGAGTTTAAATTATGGATTAATTAATAGAGAAACAAAGGCACACCTGAGGAGGATTTAAATAGAGTCAATCTTTGGATAGCTGCTCGTGCAAGAAAAAATGGTCAACCCGTAAATGAGATAGTGTCAAAGAAAATGGTATGAAGCTTCCGTTTTGAAATTATCCTTGTGTTATTTTTTATTCATTTTTCTTTTAATCTTGTAAATGATTTTTAAATGTATAGGATGACATTAAGTTGGCTAATGAAATGCCAACAACAGACAATGGTTCTATAAAAGATGATGCCTTATCACAAGCACTTGGACCTGAACATCGAGGTCGACTTCAAGGAGGTGGTTATGGGGTTACACCTTCTAGATATGATGCCCAAACATATGCCAGCATGAGTAATCGATAGCTTAGAGACTGACTACAAAATGTCGAAGGAAAATTGCAGGAAGTGTTTGATCTTGTGTTGGCTAAACAACAAAATGAGGTAATTATATATGCAACTTTGTATATACTTATAAAAATGATAAAATATTTACGGCATATAGCTACAGGGAAATATATGCTAGTTACAACTTGTTGGTATCTTACGAGGGTCTTCATGCAAGTTACTAAATTGGCTCGGAAATGGACAAGTTGTTGCAACTGGAGAAATAGAATCAACAAATCCTGAGGCGAAAGTTCATCACATGGTGCTTGGTCCTGATTGCTGAAAAGTTTGGGTAACTGTTGTCAAAGTGGAGAATATATCTTTGTACCGGCCCGTAAGTGAATTTCGTGTCCCGAAGGATGCTAAATCTAGTACAATTGCCTAGCCATCAAAGTACGTCCGAGTTGGAGAGTAATTAGTTGTGGTCAATTTTGGCACTACATGGATAGTACTTTATGACTTCCGCTGTTTATGTATTCATTAGGCACTTCATGGGTACTACTTTATGACTTCTGTTGTTTATGTATTTATTTGGAAACTCAAGTATTTTTAAATTATGTTATAATATTATCAAGTATTTTTTATGTAGTTATTATATTGTAGTAAATATGCAATTTTGTTGGTTATTCTGTACTAAAAGATATAAATACATATATATATATATATATATATATATATTTGTTAAATATTTTTTTTTAATTTTGGAAAATAATTTATAACGGGCATTAGTTGTGGTCAATTAGAGCATGTGGTGTTAGATCTCAATCTACCATGGGAACAATCCGTGGTTATATTGCATTTAACAACGGGAATAGCCCGTGGTAAAAACTAAGACTTTTTATCACATCCAGAATACTAACGGGCACAATGTCCGTGATGGATTGTAATTTATAATGGACATTCACCGTGATAGATGAACTTTTTTCTTCTAGTGATTATCTATGAAATCTAATGCCGTTGCTTTCAAAAAAATACAAAAAAAAAAAAAAAAAAACGTATAAACTTTGTAAAATAGTATAACTCACAAGACAAAGTTAAGGTTTCAAGGAAAATTGTACCTGGCAACAGAATAGCCAAGGACTCTGATTGATACTGAACCAAGAAAAATCCCAAGGGAAGAATTTTCACTTCATCAAGCACACTGGCCTTCGAAACCAAAAGCAAATCAACACAAAAATAAAAAATAAAAAATTATAAATACTACAGAAGCTAAAAACACTACCATCTCCAGTTTTGGTCCAAAGGGCTCTTTTCGGCCTGAAAATGCCAAACCCTAGCCCGAGCTATATTCTTTTGTTCTAATTTTTTCTTCATATATTTAATATACTAAAAATTAGTAAAGCAGTAGTGTGTACCCATCTATTACTGGTGAGATAGAGTATATCGTCCGGGCTACATTTAGAAAAATAAAAAATAAATAAATAAAAAAACACAATGAGAGCCAAAAGTTTGCAAAACTTACTGGGTATTCATGGCCAAAAAGTTGTTGAAATGTCCCACCGCCACGTGATGGGTGGGTCCCCTTGACCCCGCGCGATGATGGTGAGTCCCTTGGTCCCGCGTGTAGGGTGAGTTATCTTGGCTCCATATGGTTGCCGATGTGTGGATCTCCCGCGTGTGACCCACTAATTGGATCCCATGTGAGGGGGCGTGTTGAATCCCACATTGGTCATACAAAAAGAAAAGTAATAGTTTAAATATCCTAACCCCACTCTAACTAATACCGAGGCCTTTTGTGATAAAACCCCACACCTGACGGATTGTGCAGGTGGTAATTACCAAGTTGGAGACAATATCGGTGTTGTTAGAAGTGGGCCGTATGACCCGTCTCTCTGATAATTCTACATGGTATCAGAGCCAGGGAGCAGGCCCGTACTGTGGGTGGTATCAGAGCCAGGGAGCAGGCCCGTACTGTACACCCACGTGATGGGTGGGTCCCCTTGGCCCCGTGTGTAGGTTGAAACCACATAAATAAATATAGATCAAAATTACCGTAAATATTTTTGCATGCACACGTTCAAACAAATTAAATAAGGGTATGAAGATAAACTGTAGTAAGAGGTAACGGGTGCCTTGATCCATCCACATTCACGCTAACAAAACCAGAACTTGACTTTCGGGCACCACCACCGTCAACAAGAATGAAAGGAAACTACATAAATAAATATAGATCAAAATTACCGTAAATAATCGGGCATTGCGCGCCGTGGTTGTTGTCAGGGTTTCCTTACACAAGACGGGCCACGGATGAGATGAGAGAGACAGCACGGAGAAAAATTGTGAAATCAGAATGCGTATTTAATTTTTTTAATTTCTCGTAGGAGCTAGATACCGGACTATCTCGTAGACAGGCATTACTTGCTCCACAAGATACAGGATCCTAAATACAATCGAATTAAGAGAACGTTTCCTAATGTCCTAGGGGTTTCTAGATTAGAAGAATGGACAAGTAATGGTAACAAAATAACTCATTATATATAGGGCCCTAGTGTTGGAACCCCCAGTCCCACATCGGACAGAGGGAGAAGAGAAGAGTGCTTTAAATAGAAATACCTCTCTCTAACTAACATCGAGGCCTTTTGTGATAAAATTCCACACCTGAGGATTGTGCAGGTGGTTAAGTGGGGACAGTATCGGTGTTGTTGGAGTGGACCCTCGGCCCGTCGACCTGAAAATTTCTATACCTAGCTAAGACAAATAATATATAGAGACCTATATATTTGATCTTGTTAGAAAACCCCGATGGAAAAGTGGGATTTTTCAAAAATTTCATAGTTCTTGCAGTCCTAATTTAATTGTGTAAAATTTAAAAAATTCTTATGGTTGAGGCTTGAACTCTTCAATGATTTCGTCCCGAACAAGTTTAATTTGCTTGCGAATACTACCAAACAACAACAAAAATTACGATGCCAAACCTGTTATAATCCAATCTTCTAAATGGACAAAAACCTTGAAATACTAGAATCATGCGCACTGTGTTTGTGCTGAAGACAAAGACTTCAAAATTTTGATTTTGGACAAGATGAAGACTTGAGGTAGATTTCGGTGTGGGGGTGTGTGTGGAATGTGTGAGGTGTAAGGGTATTTTCGGTCAGTAAAGAGGATGTATTACGATAATTTTTTTTGTTTAAAAGAAGTAAGTGTGAAATGTTTTAAATATGTGATGTGTTTTTAGGTACATGCGGTACTAATAAAATAACCCTATATTACTCATAATATCACATCCTAAACTCCAAAATCAAGTTCAAGCCCAAATTTATAAACAAGATTTACAAATAAAATAATATGTCACTAATAAGAACAAACTCATTTAAGTAATAACTCATTCATCAATGCAACTATACATCATGACAACAAATCTAATCCCAAAACCCATAATGTTACATCACATCATCCGCCGTGACATTGAAATGCGCGCCAAGTCCAACGGCCAACTTCCCTCACCAATCATCTTTCTCCACGTCATCATCCAATGCCGTATAATTAACCGAACCTGAAGATCTTCCCAATTCTAATTGTTCAATTCTTTCTTTCCCACGAAACCACCCAACCTCCTCCTAATCTCTCCGTCTCCGAGATCAATCAAAAGAAGATGCAAAGCCCAGATCCAACGGCGGAGGACGAATCCCAGGCCGTCAGCCGCCGCATCCAACGGTTGTCCCTGCACCTGACCCCCAATTACCCATTTCCCCGAAACGACGCAGCTCAGCGGCTTGAGCTGGTGGAGTGCGCTTCCAAGGCGGCGAAGCTGACGGTGGACACAAGCAGCCTCTCAAACTACATGAGAGGCAAGCACCGGGAAATCCAGGACAGAGTGTTGGATTACTTCAACAAGCGGCCGGAGCTTCAGACCCCGGTGGAGATTTTGAAGGACGACCACCGGGAGCTTTGCATGAAGCAGCTTGTGGGGTTGGTGAGAGAGGCTGGGATCAGGCCTTTCCGGTACGTCGTCGATGACCCGGCTAAGCACTTTGCTATTTTGGAGGCCGTTGGCAGCGTCGACATGTCTCTCGGGATTAAGATGGGGGTGCAGTACAGGTGATTATTACGACTAGTACTGCTCTAATCTTTTTTCATTGATTTTTGTGGCATTTTTCGGGTGTTGATCGCTTGGTGTTTTAAGTCTGGGTGGGAATTTTGAAGAAGCTGAGGTTCTACCGTAAAACCAATTGGGAGAATGAGGGTGTTTTTGACGTGGGTTTTGTGGTTTTTGATTATTGAAGTGGTAAGATTTATGCTGAGCATGATTCTTTGTGTTTTATTGTTCGATTTGACGACGTCATCTAACTCCTCGAATAGATTTCCTTCTTGGTAGATTATTTATGGTGTATGTGTTTATTGCACTCTCTGTATTGTAATTGTTTTCGGATTGATTGCTATTGCACTAAATGTTTTACTGCTCCATAAGATAGGCCTAAAATATGCGCATCAGACGCATTCGCACTGCGGTGGAAAGACATGTCCATAGAGATGTAATAGATACAGATGTAATAGATAATGTAAATGGATAAAGAATTATTGCTGTAGATGTTGATGTTTCGGTGTGCTGTTACAATTGTATACACACCACTGACGGATGCAGTTCATGAAAATTTTGAGTATAAAGGGCACCGAATTTGTTTGATTGGTAATCCCCTTCATTGGCCCTTGTTTGGTGTTGTGTTTAGTTAATAGCTTGTGCCAAATCCCAAATGTGAAAATCCCCTTAAATTGTTGATTGCAACAAAAGGAGGGAAACAAGGATCTTGACCAATGAATTGGAGTTGGATGAGTTAGCGTGTTATTTTCAAGTGCTGTGCCATGTCTATGAACAAAACTGTTGGACAAAAACAGAGTGTTGGACCACACTCAAAATCTTATAATTTGGGAGCCGTGATTACCCAACAAAAATTTTCATGCTAGGGAGAGGAAATCTAGTGCTCAAATTTTCCTTCTGCTGTGTCTTTCCCTATTTAATTACATATAGTTAACATTTGGATGCCCTTTCTGAGGGAGGGTGTTTAAAATATAAGTTAATAGCGGACTGCGTCAAGATTGGGACTATAACAGAAAAATAAATTTTATGAACAGTTTGAGACCATCCAGATAGTTTTCATGTGATGAGAAACTTGTAATAGAATCCGTGTTTTGTTGTGCAATTTGAATGTTCTGAGATGGGAAGGTTTTGGAAAAATTGGAAGGTAGAAATTCTATTATAATTGCAAGCATTGTGGAAGGTGGAAGTTTCCATTAAAGTGCAGGTTCTGCAGAGTTCATTGTTCAAAGATCACATGTTTTATTGCTGATATTTGGTGCTTGGATTCAAATGATGTAATTACATGTCTCCTAAACTTGTTAAGGGACCTCTGCTTTCCAATGTTCGTGTGCCAGAAACATAGTGTAATGCTTAATTGCACTAGCTGTACAATATATTTTTCGTTCTGCCCTGATTTTTTTATTACTTGTGCAGTCTTTGGGGAGGTTCTGTGCTTAATTTAGGAACCAAAAAGCACAAGGATAAATATTTTGATGGTATCGACAATATGGAGTATCCAGGTTGTTTTGCTATGACCGAACTACATCATGGTGAGCTGTTTTGCTACTACCATTCTTTCACTTGTTCCTTGTTTAGCATAAGTTGAGTGGTTCTGTGGAAAAATTGGTGTGCGCCACATACACATATGCATTTAAAACGCATCTACCTTTTACAGTTTTTGTTTTCGTGAAAGCCCAGATTTTTATTCTTAATGAATAGTATTATGGTGAGAAGGTCAAATCACGTTCAATAAAGCATCCAATGAGAAAAAAGTTTAGTGTGCAAGATTAAGAAGATAGTTCTCCAAGATTTATCTTGACAACTTGTTAGTTACTTTGTTTGGAGTGTTGGAGTTGATATAGACAGGGTGCTGAAACATTTATAATGACTAACATCCACTTTTGAATCTTTGATTTATTGGTGCTGATTATCCATTTAAAGTTTTTTGAAGAGACTGGTTCGTTGTGATTCTCTATCATCTTTTGCTTCAGATTTCTTAGTTGTTTTTCATTTTATGCTCTTTATTTCTTAGGCACTGTTGTATTACTAAATCCAGAATTCATATCTAAACCTTATTCATTATTTCTTTTCCCTGTGCATAAGGCTCAAATGTTCAAGGTATACAAACAGTGGCAGCTTTTGATCCACTCACAGATGAATTTATAATCGACACACCCAATGATGGGGCCATCAAATGGTGGATTGGCAATGCTGCCGTTCATGGAAAGTTTGCTACTGTTTTCGCTAAGCTGATGTTGCCGACTCATGACACAAAGGGTATTACTGATATGGGTGTCCATGCCTTCATTGTGCCAATAAGGGATTTCAAGTCCCACCAAACTCTTCCAGGAATTGAGATACATGATTGTGGCCACAAGGTTGGTCTGAATGGGGTAGACAATGGAGCATTAAGATTCTGCTCAGTTAGAATCCCTCGTGATAATCTTCTTAATCGGTTTGGAGATGTCTCCCGGGACGGGAAGTACACAAGTAGTTTACCATCTATAAATAAAAGATTTGCTGCCACTCTAGGTGAACTTGTAGGTGGAAGGGTCGGTCTTGCATATTCTTCAGTTAGTGTCCTGAAGATTGCTGCCACAATTGCAATCCGATATTCTCTACTGCGCCAGCAGTTTGGTCCTCCCAAGCAACCTGAAGTTAGTATTCTTGATTATCAGTCTCAACAACACAAGTTAATGCCCATGCTGGCTTCAACTTATGCATTCCATTTTGCCACGTTGCATTTGGTGGAGAAATATTCAGAGATGAAAAAGTTTCATGATGAACAATTGGTTGGTGACGTCCATTCGCTTTCAGCAGGGCTCAAGGCTTATGTGACAGCATATACCGCAAAGTCATTAAGTATCTGCAGGGAATCTTGTGGAGGCCATGGGTATGCTGCTGTCAACCGCTTCGGTAGCCTGAGGAATGACCATGACATTTTTCAGACGTTTGAGGGGGACAATACAGTGCTTCTACAACAGGTTTCGAACAAATCACATTCCCTACCTTGGAATATTTTATTTTCTTTCATCATCTAGAATTTTTCATAGGATAGAACAATTATGGGTACACAACAAGAAATGAAATAGATTTGCCAAAAAAATTATTACAGGCAATTTTCTACTCTGAGTTTTTACTGGTGACACAGGTTGCGGGTGATCTGTTGAAGCAATATAAGGAGAAATTTCAAGGCGGGACACTCACTGTCACATGGAACTACCTCAGAGAGTCCATGAACTCATATCTATCTCAGCCAAATCCAGTGACTGCTCGATGGGAAAGTGAAGAGCATTTGCGAGATCCTAAGTTCCAGTTGGATGCTTTCAGAGTGAGTTTTTACTGGGTTTTATGATCAAAATCCTCTCTTAGTGTATATAACAAGACTGAAACTCTTGTCACATAATTTTTCTCCTGCAGTACCGAACTTCTCGATTACTTCAAAGTGTTGCAGTAAGACTGCGCAAGCATTCCAAAACTCTTGGCAGTTTTGGTGCATGGAATCGATGCTTAAATCACCTTTTGACTCTAGCGGAGTCCCATATTGAGTCTGTCATCCTTGCCAAGTTTGTTGAAGCTGTCCAGAAGTAATTCTTAGATCTCTGTTACTCACATTAGTTCCTTTCCGTTATGATTTTGAGTTTTTAAAATGGGTTTTGTGCCAGATGTCCGGATCCAAGTTCTCAAGCTGCTCTGAAACTCGTCTGTGATCTTTATGCACTGGAGCGCATTTGGAAAGACATAGGAACCTATCGTAATGTTGATTATGTTGCACCAAACAAAGCTAAGGTATTCAAATCTTACCTCGACTAATATTCCTATGAATCATGAAAAGAAGAAATATTTCTTATAATTCTGGTTTTTATGCAATCACTACGACTCAGGATTATGGAAACCGTGTTTAAGCCTGAATACAATAGAAGCAAACATAAAATGTAGCCTGCATGGCTTTGAAGAAATGCCCTAAAAATTCAAATTAGACTGAATTCTCGTTTCTGTTTGCGTAGGCAATTCACAAACTGATGGAGTACCTGAGTTTCCAGGTGAGAAATATAGCAAGGGAACTTGTAGACACATTTGACATTCCAGATTATGTCACAAGAGCCCCAATTGCAATGCAGTCGGATGCCTACTCACACTACACACACTACGTCGGATTTTAATTCCCACTGAACTTCTTTCCTTTTTGAGCAAAAGAAAGCAGGAATTATATGTTTGCATAATTGTCTATGCCAAATTGGCTTAACATAGGAATGATGATTGGTGAAAGGGAGTTCTTGTTCTTCCTTACTGTAAGTTTCGAAAATATTTTTTGGTTCGTTACAATAATTGATCAGTGAGAGTTCGTAGGGAAAAGGTGGTTATATGTCTCACAATGCAGGACTGTATCATGTTCTGTTGTAAAACTATCAGACAGCAATTCTTGTTAGAAGGGCAATTCGTGCTTGATATGCTTGTGTGTGCCAAATATACCCTGTAAATCGTAATTTGCATACGTCTTTATTAACTTTATCAAGAGGTGCATGGTCACTCACTCATGGTCACTCAACAGTTTTTCCTTCTTCGGGCTTCTTCAGTTTTGGCTGTGGTTTTTGATACCCCATAAGGAGGTCAAAAACGACAGTATTGTTCTCTTGATCATCTGGTGACAAAGAAATTCATGTTCTCTTAGAGTTGATATCAAGGGTAAAGAACAAGTCATTGTGCTTTTAGTGTTTAAATATCACCCTTCGATATGCAAGGGTGAGTGACGATGAATTCTTAGGTCACCTAGTGATTAGGAGAACGGGACTCCAAAATATCAAAGTATAATCAAGAGTCGAGATTAAGCGTATAATAATAAAACCAATCGCGAAGAAAATAGTTCAAAATATTGGCGCAAAACTCATCCTAATTCAGTTGTAAAATTGAACGCACTGCCCAAAAACACCAAAAACTTGCTCTTTAGAAACCTATATCCAGTCCAGTCACAAATTCAGGAGATGAATATATGTTTAATTACATAAACTCAGTATCTAACAGGCCTGCAGTTGAGATATGCAATTCGAGCTGCTTCGCTTTTCTGTCTGATATCTTCATACATCTTTAATGATGCCTCCGAAAATTTAGTTAGTCTATTGAGAACCTTTGTCAAGCTTGTATGTACGCAGCTCAGGTTTGGAGACGATTCTTCGCTGTTCTCTTCTGCTTTGTTCTCTGCTTCTCCGTTGTTTGCATCAGCTGTCCCCTGGTTTTTCTGTGCAACAGCTTCTTGTTCCATCAAATGACGCAGATCTGATAAGAAGGTCCTGATTGCATCTGTAAGTTCATTGGAAGGCAATGCTCTGATCCCAGCTGCCCAATCTCGAAAGAGAACAAATATAGGTGGGGCCACAGCTCGCCGAGGGGAAAATGGCCTTCTGCTTTTGGTACGCTCCCGTGGTTGCATGATGCAGTTTTGCAGCCAACCATTGAGAGCTTCCACGTATGTTGAATGGCTGTTGATCCAATTTGCAAAGCTTAAGCCGAAACACTCAATCTCATCCAAAAGTTGAGCCATGACCTGCCTGCGGGAATCTCTTTGGGAAGTCACTGTTGAGCTCTTTGAATGATATGCGAGTGAGATGGTTATATATTGCGCATGATGGCATTCAAGCATGGCCTTCCACATTCTCGTCAATCTACATAAAATCACCGTTCATCTACCCAAGATTATTGATGTTTTGATACAAATAATATGAATTTCAGGACGGAAAATAACCAAGTGGATCCAACTAATGAGAACACGAGGATTCTACTTACCCCTGAGTAAGTTCTAAAAGTTGTGGATGCAATTCTTCGTCTCTCATTTTCTCAATCCGCTTTGATATTGAATCAACAGCATGAATTGCCACTCTTATTCGTGAATGTAGATCCTTCACAATCGCCCGGGTTTTATCAATAACTTGACTGCTACAATCGTTTGCAAATTGATTCCTAAGTTGATCACATTTCCGGTCATACACCTTCCTGATAGATTCACTTGCCTACAAGAACCAAAATAGAAATGAGGAGACGATTATACAAAAAAACTATAAAACGAAAAGCATGATATACAATCAATCTGGACAGCGAAAAAACTCTTTATATTTATCTTTTCTCCTGTATTTCATGTTAGAGAAAAACACAATTCACAAGATACCATTAAAAATTGATGTTTCCAGCAATACCTATTCCATATCCCTATGGACCAGAAGCTTGCAGATCAAATTTCATGGTTCTATGACTACAAGGTTATAGATCAAATTTCATGAGCATTTAAAGGTACATAAGCAGATTAACTGATGCTTAAACTATCTCAACAAAAACCAGATGACAAGATTACAAGATTATCGGAAAATGGACTGATTACAAAGAACAGAGGAAAACAGATGCAAATCACTCACTCATTAATAGGGAAAAGTTTCTGACTTTTTAAAAAGATCAAAATGTGGAATTGAAGGCTAAAATGCAAGGTACGAGGGGTTAATGTAAATGAAGTTTTTTACATCCTCACATAATTGTGTTGAATCAGGGTAAGCAGATCACAAGGAAGTACGTCCAAAAGGATGCTACAATAGATACAATAAGAAAATAAATCTTTACAATAAAAAAAAAATGCAGAGGATTCAATATAGTACCTTTACTTCATCATAGAGTTTTCTTTCCCAGGCATATAGTCTCTCCAGAGTGGAGGAATGACTTCCGGCAATCATGCAAAACTCTTCAATAAAATCACTGCCACTGTCATCGGCATCCTCTTTTGTTACTGTGGGAAGAGGATTCCTTGACGAAGATGACCTCGAAGATGTTGACCGCTTCCAAGTAATAATTTTGGTTCCATGTTGAGTAGGATCTGCAAAACATTTTGATCACATATTATGGTAGGAAAACACAAAGGAGATTCTCATCATTCTGAAAAAAAATGGTCCTAAGTTAAATAAAATAAGGGTAGGTTAAATAAGGCTTCATTTGTTTGGCTTCATCTTATGCAAACGACATGTAACTTAAAGTGAACCAGCTTATTCCACAGTTAATGCCATACAACAAATTCGCATGCTTTCCTGCAGAATACATATATCACACAATTAAACGGATGAAGTGTGTTTATCTGATCTTTATGCCAGAGATACAACTCCTAGCCGTAACATAAATGACGTTTGACTGATCAAAGGATTACTAGGATTAATCAAAACCAAAAAGTGATGAGCAAGTGGGCATAGGCATAAGGAAATTCTTGCAATTGTTAAAGATGTATTCATTTCCAACCCCAAATTACTGAGTACTTACTGAACTTGTAATTAGCTTGAGATTTACCAATTGCAACAACTTACCATGATAAACAAGTGCAGTCTTTCCCGGGCAGAAAACGAGCTGGAAAGGCACGAGAAAAGCCAAAGCAGATGATGTACCTACAATTAATAACTTGAAATGTCATAAACAGTTTATGAAACCAAGAAGGAAAAAAACATCAGACAACTAAAATTATCAATTGCACAAGTAGGTGCTTCAAATTTAATTCACCAACCAATATATAACGTTTACCTTTTGCCTCCGAATATCCAACCCTTATTTTGTTTGACTCAAGCATCCTGGAGACCCCTCTTCCCGATTCTGCAGCCCTAAAGAAACGGTGCTCGATATCCTTTATGCTTGAAAGAAAATCTTTAGCTCTGTGAGTAATAAACTCTGAAGGGTCCTCTCTTTCTGCACATAAATCCTTCTCCCCCACATTCTTCTCCCTCTTTGAACCAGACTGCTCAACACCGACTTTGCCTGTCAAACTTGTAGCTCCACCATTGGCACTGCATCCCACAACTAACTGTCTCCCTTCACCATTGCCTGTTTGCAGAGACCCATCAACTCCTGAGTCTAGCGAATTCGCATTACCATCTACACTACTATCGTTTTGGTTCATTGAATTACCAGAAACTTCAAAATGTTCCTTATTTCCATCTAATCCAACCTTTGCCCATCTTCCCATCTCCTCCACACTATGACTAGCTTCTTCACTCCTCCCCTGTCTCCACCCTTTGACATCATCAAAATTCACATCCACTCCACTACTTCCCACAAACCTAAAGCTCTCACTCTCATCCACAGGATCAAAGTAATCCCAGGAAGAATCTTCATCCGGCAGAGGAGGAGGCGGCGGCGGCAGTGGAATATCCTCATCCACGTAACTACTGCTAACCGGATTGAACCTTACCGTCACAGCAGCAGCACCTCCTGACCTCATATAACTCAACCTTGCCACAGGAGGCGAAGCGGGCCTCTCGTTGCACAGAGGCGAGTCCGAAGCGTCGGCCAAAGGTGACGGCGACGGCGAGGGGTAGGAGGAGTGCGATGGGGTCTTGTCGGAGGTGGACAGAGACGACTCTAGCAACACCTCAGCCTCGGCGTAGCGGCGGAGGGCAATGCCAATGTTTCTTAGAGAGTTGGTGTAAGATACATGAGAAGCTGCTAAAGCATACCTTGAATCAATTGCTTGCTTGATCAATCTCTTACGCTCTCTGCACAGACGCAGAGCTTCGTCCTTCTCGGTTTTGGAGTTCGTCGCACCCATTTTTTGACGGAAAATGTGGCTACCAGTTCACAAAAGAACGCTCATTTTCTCAGTAACCAAACAAGACTTCCTAAAAGGAAAGAGAACCCATTTCACTGGAAGCATAAACAGCCCAAATTTTCAATAAAATCTGTAAAAACACAAAGAAAAACCCTCACTTTAAACCCCAAACCCCAAAAGCAAATGTGGGTTTTGCAGTAAATGAAAACCCAGTCGGGGAAAACTAAAAACTTGCAAGATAGCTACTCAGGGGAGAAGAGTAGCCGTTTTCATGGAAGGAAGGGAAGGAAGAGAGCAGCAGCAGGAGTGTGCAGAGGCAACCTGTTGGAGTGGTTGGGGGTCATCAGTGAGAAGCCATTAACGGAAAACTTCAAACCCCGACGGATTGAAGGCAATGAATGCGAAAGCTGACTCCCCCACACGCAAACAAAAATAAAAATCAGCAAGAAAAAAAAATAGAAACTGAGCGTGTCAAGAGGACAAAGGTGAAGAAAATGTGAAAAGAAAAAGCAGAGAGCCTCGTACTCTGTGTCTGATTTCTTGGAAAATTATCTAGGGAAAAAAAACCTTTTTATCTCTTTCTTACTTTTCTCTGTTTTATCTTTCTTTGTGTGCAAAATTAGAATTAATTGAAAAAGAAAAACGTTTTAAGAAATATTATTGCTCGCTACCTTCTGGTGATATTGCTTTATTTATTTTCGTTACATAATTTTAAAATTTAAAATTTGTACTTATCCAATCTGCATTTGTATTAGGAAGCGGGTCTTCACTAACGGGTGAAAATAAGTTGAATCCTTATATAAGGTCATGGGTTAGAACTTCTTTAATGGCTGACTTAACATTTAATCTAATAAAATCTATAACAAAAATTGTCACATCCCCCGGGCTCGACTCTACCATAACACGATATTGTCCGCTTTGGGCCCCAACCATGCTCTCACGGTTTTATTTTTGGGAACTCATCCTTATATAAGGTCGTAGGTTAGAACTTCTTTAATGGCTGACTTAACATTTAATCTAATAAAATCTATAACAAAAATTGTCACACCCCCGCCAGAGCTCGACTCTACCGTAGCACAATATTGTCCGCTTTGGGCCCCAACCACGTCCTCACGGTTTTGTTTCTGGAAACTCACACGAGAACTTCCTAGTGGGTCATCCATCCTAAGAATGCTCTCACTCGAACTCGATTAACTTCGAAGTTCCGATAGAACCCGAAGCCAGTGAACTCTTAAAATGGCCTGTGCTAAGTAGAGATGGGAATATACGTATAAGGCTTACAGGATCCACTCCCCTGGACGATGTGTGATGTTACAAAAAATCTACATTTTTAATTGTGAGTAATTAAATATAAAAAAATAACTTATATAAAATAAATTTACTGTCAAATAAATTTACTGTCAAATACATTGTTAAATTTTCTTCAAATGAATTATTGATCAAGACTCCTCGATTGGAGTGAATTCGTTTTCTGTAAACTTGTAAGCTGTTCACATTGGAAGGAGGTTGAATATGCATTGCATCACAAAAAATATCGCTTTTAACAGGAAAAGACAAAGTTAATCGGTGGGTGTCAGAAAATAATAGAGTTAATTTCAATATTTTATTGGTAATGGTTCAGATGACAGAATTGCCCTCAGGTTTCAAGTATAACGGCTCCTTAAATTCCAATTATTGGAAATTACATGCTCTTCTTTTTCTTTCTGCATATAAAAAAAAAAAAAAGGAAAAATTTGAAATAGATCCAATTTTATAGACTACCTTTTGAAATAGGTTCAATTTTTAGTGACTTTTGATTTTTGAAATAGGTCCAATTTTTAGTTATTTTGGACCCATTTCAAAAAACCCCATCACTATTTAAATTAAATGCACACAATGTTTGAAATATCTTGCATATGCTTAATATTTTCACAGAAATATCAAAAAATTCAAGAAACGATATGGAAAGAGAGGGTGAAGTTTAAATTCCACCCCATATCTGCGATATTTTCGGAAATTAGTCAATTGCCTTGATATTTTTCGATATTTTAAGGAAATATTTAGGATTTACAGACAATTTGCAAAAAGTTTGCAGGAAATATCCATTAGCCTATGCATTTTTTTATCTTTTAATTTCTTTCTTTATGGTATTAGTTTACTTCAATAAAACTTGTGTTGCTTTCATGGTGAAAATTTAAATTAAGTTATGTATAATTTATTCTTTCTAGTGAAATGTTTTATTTTATTACTTGTCATTAAAATGAAGTTTTTCTTCTCACATATCACAAACTTATTGTTCACATGGTATCTAATCATTAATTATTGATTCATACGTGTGTTGTGGCTTCATATGACATTCCCTAAAAAATAATTTTAAATTTTCATGTTTTTGAGCAAATTTCCATCATTTTTATCGAAGACAATTAGTATCAATATCCATATTCGACATATCCATTGATATTTCAACAAATTTGCCTATCGATATTTCCATCGATACTGATATTTTAAACATTGAATGCAAGTGACCCTTTATCACAATGGTAGAAATGAGTTGAGCTCTTACATAACGGTGTGAGTTTGAACCCCCATCAGTGGTTAATGTAATACCTAATCTAACAAAATCTATCGGTTGACACAAAAAAAAAAAAAGAAAAAAAAAAGAAAAAAAAAACTATAGTGTGGTTGTTGATGATTGAATTATTACTTAACTGCTGATTAACGTGGTTATTTATTATTGATGACACATCACATGATTGTATATTTGGTTTAAAAAAGTTGGTCTCCTAACATTACTCTATGAGTTAACTATATTTTACAACCTTCAAATTTGAGGTAATTTTCAAAATGGGTTATGAAGCTTTAATTTTATCATATTGCACTACAAGATAGGAAAATTGTAACAAATTTTTTCTTTGGCCTGATTAATGTGACGACCCATCCCTAATTTTCTATGTAATTTTCTTCCCAAGTGTGTAAATTGACGTTTATGTCCTTTTTGGCAAAAGTGGAAACTGACATGGACGTACTTATTCGACTTTAATTTATTTTTCTCGTTATCGTAATTGAATAGTACTCATTGTTACGAATGTGTAAGTGCAAGTTAGACCTGAAATAGACTTGTAACGAAAAAGTTACGACTAATTAAAGTGCGTTAACAACGGGTAGATTTGTACACGTGCATATTAATTATTCAGTGTTGGAAAAATTGTTTTAGATAGAAAGTTAGATTACGTTTGATCTCGAATTGCACGAATTTTATCTCTTTTTCTCTTTAAAACTAGACCCGTGCCTTTTTCACTTTCACCCAACTAATCAGAGTTTGTCCCACACTTTTGCATCCAATCAGATTTTTCTTCTTCTCAGCCAATTAGAACTCACCTTCTCTCTCCATCCTGAAACCCTTTCCTCTCTGCAGCAACCACACACCACCATCAAATTTCACAGATCAAGCTTGCAACCACCATCAACACACTTCTCTCATCCTCACGAACCCAAATGTATAAACTGATCGTAAAATATTTGAGTTTTGAACACCCAACTCGGAAACTTTGACTTGGATGAGTATTCCCTGACGTGTTCCCGGCCGAGTTACAAGCTTTTGGGACATTTCAAAGCCTCCACACAACTCCCTCAAGTCAATAGCCTAGGTTGAAGTCGAGTTGCGGTGGAAACACATGGTTTCGAGGCGAAGAAAATAAGTCTGAACATTTTGAGGCTTTTGAAAGGTACAACCTTATTCTCCTCTTCCTGAGCTTCATTTCCATATAAAGTTTGTCAAAAATGGTTGAGAAATGAAGAAGTTATGAAGGTTTGAAATTTTTACAGAATCTGGCCAAATTCTCTAGTTTCCGATGAACCAGACGGTGGCGACAACGGCGGAGGTCCACCAGAAAAGAAGACAGAATATTTCGTCAGACTTAACAGAATATTTTGACGCCGTTAAAGGTAATTACCGCCGTTAGGGTTAACAAAATATTCAGTCAAATCTGACGGAATATTCCTCTGTTAGTCTGTCAAACGTGTCAGGCGTATTGCCTGCGAGTGTGGCCTTGACCTGGCGACGCGTGACAACACGTCCAACCACCGGCCGGTGAATGGTTAACATGTACGGGTCTGCGTCGTCGAGTAGAACGTTTTCATATATTTAAACCCTCCATTTGAGCAAACTATGGGGTTTTTCCTAGGCTTTTTGTTTATGCCATGAATAAATAACGTTATAAGAAATGTTGTACCATTGTGAAATGCTAAAATAATCCTACGGGACACGCATGTAAGTTTATTATGTTGACTAGAATTATTGAATCATTATGGCATACTTATGTTTATGTAGTCTATTCATCATAGTTGTGCTTGGTGTTCGTGCTTATCCAGGGCTAGGGCCTGTCTTTCACGTTTATGTTCACATCCGCACCCATACTTGCCTTGGATCCAAGTATGTGCCAGTCATGTCGTACAGGTTGCAATAGGAAACTCCAACATCTTGTCGTACAAGTTGCAATAGGCAACTCCAACTTGTATGTGACCACGAATAGCGTTAGTCTTCACGTGATTGTAGCATTAGAGCGTATATTTTGATTACACCCAGTCCTATCGTAGGGGTTGCATTAGGCAACTCTGACTTGTGTGCTAGCATAGATTGATGAGCATCAGTCCAGTCGTATAGGTTCCATTAGGTGACTCCGACTTATGTACTAGCATAGATCGATGAACACCTAATTTTACTTATAATACTGTTGGGATATTATGATGTGGCATACTTTTGGATTTACTATTGATTTGCATTTGATTTCATACCTATAAGTAGTATGATTTTCTGGAAACTATACATGTTTTACGGTGAGGGGTTAGTATGTTTAGAAAATAAATGGATTTTATAAACTTTTGTTTTTGCCCACTCACCCTTTTGTTTTTCGCCCCTCTAGGTCTTAGTTAGCTGATTTACTCTGTGGTGTATGAGGAATATCCGGTGGTTCTAACATATCCATAAATAATGTAGGGACTTTTCCCAGTTGTGTATTAAGTACTTAACTAGTTTCGGCTACACTACTTTGTCATATATGCTCTGACCATTTGTATTCTATGGGTTCTACCCACTACTGCGCACTTACTTTATTAGTCTAAATAAATTCTTGTTTTGGTTTTAATTTATTCACATTTTTACATCTTACACTTTTGGTTACGTCACCTTCGGGTGACGGCCAACATGCCTCGACTTCGGTCAAGGCGTGTCAGTTTGGTATCAGAGCCAAGGTTTTGGTAGTTTTGCATTCCTTGTATGTACTATAAGTCCTAATAATTTTTTATCTCTTATGTCAGAATCATGCCACCTCGTAGATCACCACTCGTCCCTTATGAGACTATTTTTCCCGATTTTGGGCAACTTGGTGAGGCGATCGGTAGCGCCATTCAATCCACACTTCATCCTCCCTAGAGGACTACCCTAGAAACCATATCCTATCTTCAGATAAATAATTTCTTTGGCAATGAGGGACCTGAGAAATCCGAGGTTTGGATCGACTATGTTGA